GCTGCCAACCCAAGCGAACAAAAAGTGAAATCAAAACCTCAGCAGCACTCTGTGCCGTGGTATTTCGGTGACATAAAAAATATGTGGGAAAGTGCGTGGGGAGAGAGTATGCTTCCAAGCAGCAGCGCTAATTTATGGGGGAACAGAGTGTGAAATACTGGCAGTTCTTCATGGTCCAGTACAGAAGGGGAGGGCAGATGTGAGAGCAAAGAGTTAATGGTTTACACCTGGAAATTGAAAACCTTGTGCCAACTGGGAAAGGAGAAGTAGGTGCTCCCCATGGCCATGCTGTCCTGATAGCAGGCAGCCGAGCACCACAGCACCTTTTGCATTTCTTTGGAGGGATCCCGAGCATAACTGACACATGGACCCTAGATGGCGTGAGGTTTTAATGCGTAACAGCAAGGAAACCCAGTCTTGTAATGAATAAGCGAGAGGGTAACATCCTTCTCCGTTCTTAGGAAATCTCTGGCTCTGGGAGGGGTCAGCTCTGGTATGTGAAGGCCAGTCACATGCCTTCAGAATTGAAAAAAAAAGAGGAAGAAAATAAAAAAAAAATTATTAGAGGCTTGTAGGCTGCAAGTGCCTATGGGCTCCTGGGTGTCTGGATGTTTCGTCCCTGCTGTCGTCCCTATCAGCTGCTGGCCGTGGTTAATCGCAGTAAGTCCTGGTGAGAGCTGTGTGAGGTGCCCGCTCTGACGGCCACCCGCCGTGCTTCCTTAGGGAAGGGGGATGTCAGCTGGCCCCTGGGTTTTCCTGCAGGACAGGTTGGCTTGCTTTTGCAAGTAGTCCTTTCCTAGGACAGCTTAGGTGCCCTTTGCATCTGGCCAGTGGAGGAGGGATGCTTGGGGAGAGGGGCACGCGGCTTGCCTTCCTTTGGGAACAGTTCCAGCTCTTGATGTCTTTCGGGGCATTTAATCCTTTTCCTAGCTATGTAGTGATTGCCCCTCTAGGGGAAAACAAATTTCTGCAGCTGAAGTTATCCTTAAGTTTCCCTAGGTGGGGGTGGGAGAACTTGGGGAGGAGGGGGAAGCGTGTGAGGTTTCGGAGCTAAGGGACAGCCTCACTGTGTATCAGAGCTCCATGGAGTCCCCGTGGAACGTGCTGAGCCACAGGTTGGTAGTATAATGAAGCTTTGCAGTGGCAATGAAGATACTGTATTTGGGCTGCGTTTGGTCCCCTTGCCCTGCAGAGGTGTGCAGTCCCCGCCATCGCGCCCATGCTCCAGGCACTGTACTCCTTCCTTCTCGTGCCAGTGGGTTGTGTTGAGACACTGAGGAAAACTGTTTACAAGGTGCTACCCAGGTGTTGAGCCCGAGTTTGCATTGCCTGAACTAGGTGTAATCATTTACACCAAATCGGAGTGGGAGAAAGGGGATGTATTTCCAAAGCAGTAAGATACACTCGAGGAAAAGTGAATTATCTTTGCAATTGATACAGTGAGCGACAGAGCATCAGTGTGTCTAAAAGTAAAGTATAAAGTTCTCTCGATGATGATCTCCGTCTTTCTTTCCTACTTGCAATCTTTAAAGACATGATTTCTTTTAATCTTTCTTTTTTCTGCATTGTTTATAGCAGACTTCCCATTCCCTCTTCCCTTGTATGCTATAGTCAGAACAAGAAATTAAAAAGAAACAAAAAACTTCTGGCATTTCTTTTCCTGAGTTGTCTTGCAAGGTGTGGTCTCTGTTGGTAGGACATCACCCAAGATTTTTCTAAATCTGTAGAGAAAAGAAAAGAAATCTGTATTGCAGCTCCTAATCCTCAAAAATGCTAAATATTTGCCACCTGCCATCATCTTCAAAGAACTGCTGGTGCTCAGCAAATTCTGCAAGTCCTGTGTTTTTTTTTTTTTTCCCTAGAGATCCAAAGACAAATTTAGTCACATATGTATTTTTTTGTAATTCAAGGGGGGAAGAAAACAAACTCCCTAAAGCAATCTGGTGGTTCTCAGAATAAACGCACAAGGACGTAGACTGCAGTTCCCAATGGCTGCCAGGTTTCTCTTAATGGTTTGGGCCTCTCATAACAGTTCCCATAGTTGTTTTCTTTCTTCTGCATATGGGTTGTTTCCAGCTGTTTCTTCATTGGCACTTTGCTTATTCCTTCTTTGAGACAATGAACTTTGGTGACAGATAAACCCCGTTTTGATCCCTTTCTCCAGGTTGATTCTCTAAGTCTCCTCCCAGGTTATCAGCATGCCAGTTATACTTCTGGTTTTCAGTTCACACTCTGGTATTTTTGTCCAACGTAGCTTGTATTTGATTTTCAATGTAGATATGAGACTCAGTACTTACACATCTAACAC